AATGAGATTAAAAGATGGCATGAAAGATTTAGGATCTGTATAAGGGAGAACATTTTGTCCATATTTAGAAGTTTTAGGCACTAGAGTGTACTTTCTTATTTCACAGTGTCTCGTGATTCTTAATCAACGATAGTCCTGTCCCACCCCAGGTGATGTGACTTGTGTTCTCATGGTGAGGTGGGAGGTGTCACTGTAAGGCAGGGGTGCTGAAGGCCTGTGAGGTGTAGGGGACACCCTGCACAGCATGAAGTCTGTCTAGAATCCATTGGTGCACCATGGACACACACTGGCTTCCCTGTCCACCGTCATTTGGGTTCCATTCATATAGTTTTTGCACATCTGTGTACCACCTGTACCGTTAATTTAATGTTTTTCTTTAAATTTACTTTTTCCTTTTAATTGACTTTTTGCCATTCTATACCTGGTCTTTTATTTACATATTTTAACCCTTGTGATCTTGGGTTTAAAATGCTATTTGTAGTTTTCTCACTGTATTAAAATAGATATGACTCTTGTAATGCAGAACATTTCATCTACCTAATATGAGCATACACATCACTAATGGTATGTATTAGCTTTGAAAAACAGTGACCCGGTGGTCACACTGGATTCATTTGTAGCTTGACCTCATTTTACATAGTGTATCCTTAGAAGTTGACACTCAAGCCTTAGGACTTATTTTTAAGTAACCTTGTATTCAGCAGAATACACAAGTTAAAAGGGCCTCATGAGGATACTTTTCCAGATAGAGGTCAGATGGCACAGACAGCTGCTCTTGCCTCTTGGTGTATGTAAAGCTGTCTGGTTGGAAGGGCTCGATTTGCCTGGCAGGCGAGCGTGTATGTGCCAGTCATCTTGGCCCAGTGTGTCTGTAGACTTCTATCTACTCCCAGTTACCTTCTCCCTCTGTGGACGTGGCACTATTCTCAGAGGGTATGTGACCCTGAAAGTGTGGAAGAATCAGAGCAAAGTCTGTCCTTACCACCAGACAATTGGCTTACAGCATCTGTTGCATTGAGAGTTGGCCGCGAGTGAGGAAGATGACTGACAGGGCCACAGTGCAGCAGGAACACAGGCGCTCCCTCCCCCACTGCCAGCGAACTGAACTGAAAAGCAATCACAAACAAAAAGGGACCTTGCCCCCAATTCACCAGCAGCCAGTAAACTAACAAACAAAAAGGCAATTACGCTTTGTGCCAAGCCCCATGACAAGTGGCCGGCAGGGAAGAAAACACCCCTCCTCGGCCACTCAGAAGCAGTTCTGGGGAAAGAAGGTGAGGAATTCTATTTAATTTAATTCTATTTCATTTTTATTTGAAATTGTGGTAAAATATGCATAACATAGAATTTAATTTGTAGCCATTTTAAAACATACAATTCAGAAGTGTTAAGTACATTCACATTGTTCATAGCACATTTCCAAAGTTGTTAACCATCTTGCAAAACTGAAACTCCATATCTGTTAAACACTGACCCCTCACTCCTCCATCAGCCCAGGCAGCCACCATTTTCCGCTACTCTAGATACCTCAGATGAGCAGCATCGCACTGTATTTGTCCTTTTGCAACTGACTCATTTCATTTAGCATAATGGCCTCGAGGCTGACCAATGTCAGAGCACATGTTAGAATTCCTTCCTTTTTAAGTTTGAGTAATAATTCTGCTATATGTATTTACCACCTTTTGTTTATCCATTCATCACTGAATGAAGCAACTTGGGTTGCTTCCATCTCCTGGCTATTATGTCAGCGATAAGCATGGTGTACACTATCTCTTCAAGCCCCTTTTTAAATTATTTTGGGTATATATCCATAGTGGAATTGCTGGTTCATATGCTAGTTCTATTTTTTATTTTTTGAGGAACTACCATAGTTTTTTCCATTTTCCACAGCAAGTATACCATTGACGCTCCTACCAACAGTGCACAAGGTTCCGATTCCCCCACCTCCTCATCAGCACTTGTTAGGTCTGTCTTTTTGGCAATAGCCTTCCTAATGGATACGAAATGGAATGGAATTTTTAAAAGAGCCAAGAATTCCAGATTAGAACCAGAAAAAAAAATAACAAAATACAAAAAAACAGAGGTAGATGAAAGTCAAATGAATAGCCTAGGGGGAAATTCTAAGATGACCTCAGGGGGGAGATTAAAGCAATAAGAGAGAAAAGAGTCATGGACCATAGACAAAGCCATCCAACAGGCAGAGCAGAAAAAGAATGCAAAGATATAACACAGGGAGGTTTTCTGAAAGGAAGAAAGAACTGAATCTTTGGTCAGATGGTCTTGCCATACACCAGGAAAAGCAGATCTAGATGAGCAAAGATATACCCTGATATAAGGCTTCAGTGTTTTGTATCCCACAAAGAGAAAGCAAGTTACACAAAATGTTAGACAAGTGGTACCAGAACTCTCCATACTGGCATTTCCTACCATAAAGTAGGAACAAGGTCTACAAACTTGTAAGGGGAATAAAATTATTTAAATAATATAAAATTATATTTATAATTTAAAAATAAAATATTAAAAGTAACTTTAAAGTTGCTTTTCTAAATATGAGTTATTATTCCAATGAAGGCAATAAGTAGACAATCTTAAACTAACAAAATCTCAGGGAATATTGCAATCATAGACATTTCTTGAAGAAAACTATCTGTGAGGAAAGTGACCAGTTGACACAAATCAGAAAAACAGACCCAGGAGCAGGAAAGCCATGATTGAAAAGCAGTAACAACAACAGAAACAGTGGTGAGCTTTCAAACCATTGTGGTCCTAAACAACTTGGGAGCAAGGAGCTGTAGCTTATTGTCACAGAGACATAAAAATGATAGTACCTTACAAAAAATGATACAAGCAACAAAAGTCAAGAGGTGTGAGGAAGAATGAGAGAGGAAATATAAAGTGTTAATTATAAAGTGTGGATAAGAAAACATTTGGTTAAACTCTTAAAATTTTCATAATTTATCTCCATTAAATTGTGCATGTGTATTTTTAAGTAGTTCATTGCTAGTCAGAAAATATTCAGTTTTATGTCTGCTTTTTGTCTTCTGTTAAATTTAAACAAAAATCAAATAGCTCTTATTAGGGAAAAACTCTTAGATATCAATGATCTCATTTAGAATGATAATATATCTGTCCTTCTAACAACATATGTGCGTAAAGAGATATTCAGAATGATGTTCAGCACCTGTAAATACAACGATGAGATATTGGTTGATTTGCTTTCCTCATTGTAATTTTGCTTTCCTTGAATTTTTAAATGCACTCATTTTTATAAAACCTCCCACATTTTTACAAAAGCCAAAAAATTATACTGTTCATATGAAACATTGCTTAATATTATCATCATGATTGTAATTGCCTCTTAGTCAGTTTCTCATTGCATTGTTGATAGTAACTGAGATAAAGGAGTCAGCCTAGTGCATACCAACAGATGAATGAGTGAAGAAAATGTGATGTGTATATACATAACTGAGTATTATTCAGCCATAAATAAGAATGACAATCTGTCATTTGCAGCACAATGGATAGGACTGGAGGGTGTTAAGTGAAAGAAGCCAGAGAAGAAAAGAAAGCACTGCATGTTCTCTCCCATATGTGGAAGATAACAGTCAACCCCAAAGTAGGACTGTGATCACTAGAGAATAGGAAGAGGGTGGGAAGGGAGAAGGGAAAAGGGTGGTTGGGTTTGATCAGTGCACTCTGTATACAGGTCTGGAAATATCAACTGAACCCATCAATATGTATAATTAGTGTGTGTTAATAATTTTTTTTTAATTAAATCATGGTGTTGACAAACACCAGAAAAAGTCCTCGGCAATATTTTTGCAACTAGTCCCTGAGGTATTGGCAACTAGCAGCCTAGAGGCCAAAGACAGGGCGGTGGGAACAGCAGCTCTTCTTACCGGATGCCTTTTGCCTTCTTATTGAGTCATAAATCAAAACAGTAGTCTGGGGAGCGTGAGGTGGATTGACCCGAATCCCCAYGATGCCGGTGGGTAGCACGTGCAGCACCCTGTGCCCATGCAAGTGTCTGAACCTGGCTTGAGCTGGGGCCATCAGCATCKCATTTGTTCCCTCTGACACTGTACCTGGTGCCTCGGCTCCCCCCCCCCCTCTGTGYGCTCCACATACTTTCCTCTGATGGGAGGCATGGCTCTCCCCTTTCGCCCACCTCCCCTTCCTCTTGTTCGGGGCTTTGCCTTAACCTCCTTCCTTTGGAGAGCCTCTGGCCACACTAGGACAGGATCCCCTTTGGAGTAACAGAGGGCACTGCTTGTTGGTGTCAGACACTTATAACTCACTGTCTCATGTGTTAGCAGACAGGAAGCTAATTTAGGAAGTGCAAGGTCAAGTCTTCTCCTTGCCCCTGAGCCCAGAAGAGAAACAGAAGGGTAGCCAGGACGGGTAACTACACTCTAGTGGCCTCTGCTGCTACCACAGGCCCCTCTATCCTCTCTTCCCTTGCAGACTCGACAGTTTATTTTGTCTCAGCAGGCCTCTTGGCTCCTGCTTCGCCAGCTGCACCTGTTCATGTTTGAGCCATCAGGAGAGAGGGCTGCTGGCTTTAGGCCTTACCCCCACCCGCACCCATGTGAGCCCTTCCTGCAGGGAGGCGCATTCACAGCCCAGGACCACGCCCCACTGCTGGCCCACAGGCCAGTGCCAGGGAACTGGGGCCTGGACAGACATTTCTAAGTTCCCCCCAGAATTCCTGGCTTGGCCTCTGACAAAAGAGATGGAAGTGAAAACAGCTTGCTACTAGCAGCATGTACAAGGTCATCCTCCGTGTAGGTTTTATATAGAAAAGAAAGGAAATAGACCAGATTATTGTTTTCACACTTGCCATGGTGAACACTCTCAAGGTGCTAGGCGGTATTTCTTAAGCCCTGACACACCAAGGCTAGGAGCCCCACCACGAGCAGTTGTCTTGGCTGCCCACCTTTCTGTCTCTGCCTCCTGAAGTGTCTGTCGTGTGTTTCACCTGCGTTTCTTTTTCTCCTCAGGTGATCGGACGCCTGGGCTCCCCTCACACATCCTCAACAGCTCCCCATCAGACAGGCAGATCAACCAGCTGGCCCAGAGGCTGGGCCCCGAGTGGGAGCCTGTGGTGCTGTCGCTGGGACTGTCCCAGACGGATATCTACCGCTGTAAGGCCAACCACCCCCACAATGTGCAGTCACAGGTGGTGGAGGCCTTCGTCCGCTGGCGGCAGCGCTTCGGGAAGCAGGCCACCTTCCTGAGCTTGCACAAGGGCCTGGAGGCCGTGGAGGTGGACCCCTCGGTGCTCCAGCACATGCTGGAGTGACGCCACCCCGTCAGCCCTGGGGAGGGGCCCCAAGTCACTCGTGCTGAATCCTGACTCACTCAGAGCAGGTGGATTTTTGTTTTCTCTTTTCACTGATCCTTAGATGGAGAGAGAAAACAGTTTCTACTTGACTTTACTTAAAATGCCAAATTACTCAGCTGATCTCCTACATTGGTTCAACAATTGATTGTTTTTAATTGCTTGAAGATGGTGTCTTAATTGTAGTTTTTAACTGTACGGTTGTGTTTTAATAGACCAGTAAATCATAGTGGTTCAAAAAAAACACACAAAAACGCCATGTTATCACATCACATGCAGGTGTCCCACATATAAAACTCCACCCTCATGTTGCCTGGAAACTGAACTGTGGACTTTGCTATTCATAATGATGATAGTAATAAACAGTGAATTACTATACATATACTGTGCTCCTTTAATGAGAAAGTCTGGTGTTTTTCCTCATTCTTATATTGCAGAGATTAAGGGTATATAATTACAGTATCATTTCTTTGGAACAGAATTGATAGTAACAATGAAATGCCTACTTTCCCCAGTCAACATAAACAGCTCAGGCAGGATGTCTGTCTTAAACATGAGACACCAAAGCTCCCTGCAAAGATCAGTTCAAGTGCCAGCATGCACACCCGAGCCCTTCATCTTTAAAAGATTGCTTAAGAAAATCTTGTGCTGTTTATTTAAAACATTAAATTAGGGCAAAAGGGAGGCTGTGGTCTTTCCATTAAGGCTGTCATGACTGAAGTGTGTTCCTGAGGAGAGAGATGGAGTCGTCTCATCTCACTTATCGCAACGTGTTGTTTATGAAATGCTTTCCTCTTTTCAAGGCTTTTTCCGATATGTGATCTCATCTGGTCCTCTCAACAATTCTATGAGCAGATATACAATAGTGGTTGGCCTCCTCCTACAGAGAGATTGACTGCTGGCGTGAGTGAGCTAGAATGCTCCACGTGGCTTCTCTTCCTTTCCCTCTTGCTTGCTCAAAAGGGACAGGAAGAGTCGTGCTCCCACCTACTAGCTGCATTGCCTTCAGCAAGTTACCTGCCCTCCCTAAGCCTCGGTTTCCTCATTTGTAGAATGGGGAGATGACTGTACTCACCTCCAAGATCTTCCTGATGATTAAAGTAACAAAGTCTGGGCTCATCCASAGCCTAGAGTAGTCAGCTGTTGGAAAATGGTATCTGTTCATTTGCTGCCATGGTTGAACATGTAGTTCACAAAGTGAAGAGTGCCTGAAGACGAGACTCAGAGGGGGAACTATGCCCATGCATTTAATTACCAACCTTTAAAATAAGTGATTTTATTAACTCTACAATGGATCCAAATGAGAAAAGCACAAGCGAAAATTCCCTATCCACGATCTGTCTTCATTAATAATTGGGCCATCTATTTAATGCTTTTTTTCCAACAGGAAAAAAAATATATACTTTTTATCTCCTTACATTATGAAGACAAGTCTATAGAGTGGTAGAGTTGAACAAGAAGCAGGTACTCAAAAAGGTGACCATGGTGTGTTGACATCCTGTCAGTCATCTGGTACCCATATCCCCTTTACTAGAAAGATCACTTATTCCACAGCTCATTCATTCAGTGAATGCAGTCCCAGAGGATCATCTACTAGCCTTATCAGCTCTAATTTCCCATCTTATCACTCAGCCAATAATTCATTATCTTGTAAGCCTCTCATACTTTTGTCCACATCCCTATACCCAGTGATAGACTGTGCTTCTATGGCATCTTCAATAAATTGCTTGTCATTTTGAATCTTGAACTCATTATTTGGCTCTCTTCCCCCTAGATTTCATAATAGAGACTTGCTTTAGCTTTTGTTCTCACCACTCAGTCACATTTATGGATGAGTGAATATAGGTGGGCTCTGCTGTGTCTGGCTATCTGGCATCTTAGAAGTGGGTCTGATGATTAGCTGTATCTTGCACCCACCATTTGTAAGGAATCTGTCATGCACAAAGACACTTCTGTGCTCTGCCAGTAGTGAGAGACAATTAGTGAAGAATAAGGCTGTGAAGCGCTGACAGGGTCAAGGGGGCCATTAGAGCTCTGGCTTGTTGCCTTTAACAAGCAGGGTGTCTCCCCCTCCAAATGGCAGCCTCAACTCCCTGGGCCTACTCATGTTCCTGCTGAAGTTCTGCAAAGTGGGAGAACAGAGCAGCTGAATCCCTGCCTCATTTTTACCCCTGGCTGTGAAGATGAGTGATGCTACATAGCGTCTGCCGGCCTCCCAAGAGAATTAAGGAGGTGAGCTGCCTGCAAGAATTCCATGTGTTTTTGCGTGGAAGAATATTCTACAATTCCAGAGTCTGTCTACCCCCAAGAAAATTATCGATAAGTGAAGTGGGGCAGCAGGGCATTTGCAGAGATTAAAGAAACAACAAAATGTCAACAGTCTTCCTCCACTTTAGATTGGGGTGTTGCGGGGGGGGTAAGTATGTGCAAGTGTGTGCATGCAAACATGAGTGCCTTCTAATGCTTTCAAATCTGTAATTTTTATTGAATTATCAACACAAGTAAAGTCCACATTCATTGCATCTTTTTGTAAAAAAGGAACAATGAATTATGGGGGGTGGGGAATAAGAACTATCCATATCCCCATCTTCCAAAGGTAAACTGTTAGATTCAGCTTTGCTCTGTCGTCCAGCAAGTTTCTCTGCCTGCACATTCTTTTTACAACAAGAATGGGGGGGGGTATTGTACATGCTGCTGTATCATACATGTTTCCTTCAGTACCACACCAGTGGTTTCCCACATCCTTTGTGTTCGGAACACATGTTCAAAATAGTTTTAGCAACACCTTTGAAGAGATTAGAAGCCACTTAGCTATTAACTAACTTCACCAATGGCGATCACCATCAAAACATCCACCACTTCACTTTTTGCTTGGTCCCCCTTTAGCACCATGTCCCTGTCCGAGTGTAGCTCTTTACTGCCCATATTGTGTACTCTGATGTCCTCAAGTAAGAAAGCTGTCTCAAATTTTCAAAAAAGAGCTGGGGATGTAGCTCAGTTTGTCCCCACTATGGCAGCCTTAACAACAAAATTGATGGCACACTTCTAAAGGGTTGGTAGGCCTGTGTGTTGCTACAATCCTACACCATAACAGCAGCACGCCTCTCCTATACATAAATATGCCACTCCTTATTATCCCCTTCCCTATTGGGCGGATCTTTAGTTTTTCTTTGCTTTTTCATTATTATATATACAATGATGTAGGCAGGCTTAGTGATKCACACCTGTAATTACAGCTACCAGGGAGGCTGAGACAGGAGGATCCAAGTTTGAGGCAAGTCTGTGTAACGTAGTGACCCCTCTGTCTCAAAATTATTAAAGTATAAAAAGGGCTGGGGATTGGCTCAGTGCTAGAGCATTTGCCTAGTACATGTGAGGCCCTGGTTCAATACCCAGCACTGCAATAAACAAACAATGATGCAAGGGAAGTCTCCATTGCAAAATGTCAACATTCATTGAGGGTACAATGAACCGGATCCCTGTTTTGTTTAACTCCAAACATGTTTTAATTTTGTTACCAATTAGATCATATTATAGCAAACAACCCCAACATGTATTGGCTTCAAACAACAAATGTGCTGGCTTAACACATTGTCACCCAGCCAATAATTCATTATCTTGTAAACCTCTCATACTTTCGTCCACATCCCTAAACCCAGTGATAGACTGCACTTCTATGGCATCTTCAGTAAACTGCTTGTCATTTTGAATCTTGGGCTTACTATTTTGCTCTTTTCCCTCTGGATTTGATATTAGAGTTGCTTTAGCTTTTGTTCTCACCACTTAAAGCCACATTTATGGATGAGTGAGTGTAGGTGGGCTTAACACTTAGCTCACACTTAACTCAGGGTTCTATGAGCAGCTGGGCTGTTGGTGGAGGCCAACTCAGCTGACCTCTGCTGGGCTGGTTTGTGAATCTGTGGTCGGCTAAGGCTGGATGACCCAGAGTGGCCCCACTTGTGTGTCTGGCAAGGGGCAGGCATCTGCCTGGGGCCAAAGAGGTGTCTAGGTCACGTGCTCTTACCCATCAGGCTTGCCCAGACTTCCTCATTTGGTGGTGGCAGCAAAGGTCACACAGGCAGCAAGAAGCAAGCCCTGGTYTGGCCTCCACTGGCCAAACACTCTTTAAGCCTCTGTTGGCATTCCTTTTGCTAACATCCTTTGGCCCCGGGCAGTCACATGGGCAGCTGAGGGTCAGTGTAGGAGAGCTCTACTCAGAGGCCTGGAGAGAGGAGGGGAATAATTAGAGTCCTCTTTATGCAATGTATACAGCCGATATTTTAAAACTGAGATTTCTGGGCCCTGTTGAAAAACAAAGAAGTCACTTAGCTTCTTTGGCTGCTCTGGTTCCCCTCCTGATATCACTGGGCAAGCCCTTCCCAGCATGTCACCATCTCTCCAGTGACAGACCACTGTCCTCTACCCACCTCCTTCCTGTTTTTSCTTACGAATAGAGCCAGGATGATTCTTGGGATAAACTCCTATTAGGAAAATTTCTGGGTTTAAAGTTGCACATTTTTAAAAACTACTTTTGGCTTTTTAAAACTTTTTCAAGTCAATTTTTTTTTTTTTTTTTGTCCAGGAAAATATAAGCAATCTGGTTTTTAAAACCATTTAGCCCCCACTAGGCTTTAGTGGCCCGCTGTGAGAGTTGCTGTTGGGGCGTGTGTGCACATCCAGCCCCATGCTCCCCTGAGGCAGCAGGAGGAATCTGCCTTCACCCCTTTCTCTGGGAATCCCACCCCCCAAGTGGTAGTTTGGGATGGAGGCTCCTTTCATTTAGTTGTTCGGAGAGGCTACTATAATCCAGTCTGTCTGCTAAGTGGGGAGGTGGAAAGATGACCAATAAAAAAATCCCTGCCTCCTGGGGCTGGTTTGACCAGTGAGTCAGACATGAATCCAGCATGATGGGACCAAGGCCATACCTGAGTAAGCAGAACAGAGAAGGAACAGAGTGGAACGGTGGGAACAGAGGAGAACTGATTCCTCTGCCTTGCTTCTCAGGTGGTGGGAGGCCTGGGAAATAATAAGGCTCCACCCCTCAGGCAACTTACTCCACCTTTTTGTGCAAATATCCTCACATGTAAAATGTGTCATAATAGTGCTCACGTATGTTTGCAGTGAGAATCCCATGAGCTAAAAGGTGCTAGGGATTGGCTCAGTGCCTGGCACAGAAAATGCTTCACTAGATCATCGAGCTGGATTATTTTTAGTTCTTGGGATTTTTTTTTCTAATATTCTTCACCCTCCCAGGACTCTGAGGAGTTTGAGGGTAAAGGCACCTTTTGCTAGGGTCTACAGAACAGCAATGGAAAGTATGTAGTCCTTCAGTGCATTATCAGGATTCTCAAGACCTATGAACTGGTACCACATATTCAGAATCCGGGTGGGAGTCTGATCCAACACTTGGCACTCATTTAATGAATCCCGACAGCCATGGCACAAATTCTTACTGATTACAAAACCCTGCCCAAGTTACTGGAGATCCAAAGATAAATAAGACATAGTCCCTGCCCCATAGGGTCTCAGCCTGCTGGGGAAACAAGAGCCAGCAACTATGACACTGTTTGGCCAGCACAGAAGAGGGAGCAGTTAAGTTGGCCACACAGGAGGTGACACTTCTAGTGAGCTTTTGTAAGTTCTGCCCAAGTTAGTGTATTAGTCCCTGTGATGTTCTAGACATGAAATGTCCCTCAAAAGCTCATGTGAGACAGTGCAAGAATTTTCAGAGGTGAAATTATTAGTTTACGAGTGTCATAACTTCATCAGTGAATTAATCCTCTGATACTGATTAATTGGGTGGTAACTGTAGACAGGTAAGGTGTGGCTGGATGAAGTGGATCATGGGGGTGTGACTTTGGGATTGATACTTTGTCCCTGGTTATCGGAACTCTCTTTGTTTCCTGGTCACCAAGACCTGAGCTGTGACCCTGCACTGTATCTTTCTGCCATGATGTCTTGCCTCACCTTGGGTGCAGAGGTGTGGACTTAGCCGACTATGGGCTGAACCTCTGAAACTGTGAGCCAAAATAAACTTTTGCTCCTCTAAGTCACTCTTGCCTTTTGATCACAGTGATGCAAAGCTGACTCAAACGGTCCCCTTAGGGGAGATTAATGGACACTAGAATTCCATTTAATTTATTATACATCCAGTTTGACAAATGACATCCCTTGCCACAGCTCTGCAAAATGAATATACCTCCAAAAAGCTGTCTCAAAGCAGTTTTTTTTTTTTTAAATGAAACCTAGTGACAAATGCTGTCCTCTTCAGTACCTCAAGACAGCAGTGATATGAAGAAGCATGTGGTTTGTTTCACCACAGTGCAATCAGGATCAGACTTCAGGTTTTAGACATGAGGAATATTTTTGGATTTTTCTTTATGTCATCCTTAGACTTTCTTCCTCTAAGACTCCAACAAATTCAAACTAGATGTTGCTGGCCTACAGGGAATGTTTTTAGTAAAATAATTTTCTATTTACTTCTTGGAACTACAAACAGCTCAGGAGAACAGGGACGTCTATCTTGTTGGCATTTACTGTTCTTATAGGAAAATTAAATTCTTATGAGGTTACGGTTCAGTGAGCCAATTTAGCTTTGTCTTTGCTTTGTTAAAACTTGTGCGGAACATATGGCAATAATTCTGGTAGCTATTGTTAATTCCAAGCACAGCCATGACATCCAGGTTTTATACTTAAAAAGAAAAAGAAAAAAAAAAAAAGCAGACCCAACATCTGGGTAA